AACCAATTCCCAGCAAAAATTTCTGTACAAATTGAAGAGCTTATTCTTAAACTGGCAGGAAATTCTGTAGAGGAGTAAAGGTGAAGGTCATGCACTACCTGATTTCAAGACTTAGCATTAACTTACAGGAATTAAGATAGTGTGGTGTTGGCACAGGATAGAAAAATAGACCAATGGAGCATAACAAAAAGCCCAGAAAGAAGTCTGCATACACATGTTTAATTAATGTATAACAAAGGCTCCAATGCAATTTCATGGAGAAAAGAGAGTCTTTGCAACCAATGATGCTACAATGATTATATAACCTATATGGAGAAAAAAAGTACCCTGATTCCACCTCACCCAAAAAAAATAATGCAAGATGGATCATTCTGAACAGAGATCAGTATTTGCTTGGAGATGAAGGGGAAGGAAAGGGTGGGAGGGAGGAATCCCAAAGGAGCATGAGGATATTTGGGGGGTGATGGATATGTACACTACCTTGACTTGTGGGGATGACGTTACACGTATATACATATATCAAAATTTATTAAATTTTATGCTTTAAACATGTGTAGTTTATTGTACATTAATTGTATCTCAAAAAAGCTGTTAATAAGAAAAAGATAAAACATAAACCTTTATACAAATGCTACCACTATAGGGCCGGCCGAGTGGCTCAGTTGGTTAAGAGCTCGCTCAAGAGTGTGAGCTCTGAGCAACAGCGGTTCGATTCCCAGCCCGAGCTGAGCAGCCGCTGAGCTGCCAACAGGTGCACGATGGCTCAGCTTATGTAAAAAAAAAAAAAAATGCTACCACTATAAAGCTTCTACTAAAAAAAGAAAAATATTGAAAAATTTTTACTTCATCCAAATTAAAATTTTCTGTTCATCAAAAGACACTGTTAAGAAACAAATAGGAAGCCCATTCTACACATGGGGAAACTAAGGTTCCAGGAAGGGAAGCCTTCACAAGACTAATAATTGAAGCCACTGCCAGGCTTAGCTTTTCCTCGTGATCTGGATCAAATGCTTTGTGTTTAACTAAAGTATCTAATAAGAAAAAAGGAAGGAAGGAAGGAAGGAAGCAAGGAAGGAAGGAAGGGGCAAAGTATAAATAGGGAAAAATATTCACCCCTCACTCTCACTTCCTCTTCTCCCACCCCCTCACTATATATGTATATGTACATACACACATACACACCATAAATGACTCATAGCCAGAACATATTTTTAAAACTCCTAAAAATGAATAAAAAGACAAACAATCCAAAAAAAAGTCGGCAAAAGACCTGACACTTCACAAGAGATATACAAGTGGCCAATAAGCATATGAAAAGTTGCTCACCATCGTTATTCATCAGAGAAATGCAAATTACAACCACAGAGAGATACCAGCACCACCTGAATGGCTAAAATTAAAAAGACTGACAATACCAAGTGCTGTCATGGATGTGGAGAAACCGGAACTCTCATACATTACTGGTGGGAGTGTAAAATGGTACCAGTTTGGTAAACTGTTTTGGCAGCTTCTAAAAAATTAAACATACATCCATACTATGTATGACTCAGCAATCCCACTCCTAGATATTTACCCAAAAGAAATAACACGTCCACAAAAGATGTGTATAAGAATCTCCAGTGACTTTAGTCATATAGCCCAAAAGTAAAAGCAACCTAAATGTCCATCAATAGGAAAGGAGATAAGCAAATTATATTTTCATACAAAGGAATATTAATTACTCAAATAAAAAGCAGAAACTACAGATACAGGCATCAAAATCAATAAATCTCAAAAACGTTACACTGAGCAAAAGAAGACACAAAAGAACATATGTTCGGATTCCATTTATATGAAGTTCAAGAACCTGAAAAATTAATCTATACTGATAGAAATTAGAACACTGGTTGCCTCAGGATTTGGGGGGTGGCGCAATAACTGAAAAAGGACACAAGAAAACTTTGAGGGGAGGACAGAAATGCTCTGCACCTGGACGAGTGATGGACATAGAGGTGCATACATTTGTTAAAATTCATCTAACTTAGATACTTAAGATCTGTCCATTAATTACACTGGGTAATATTCCGTAATTTGTAAATGGTGGAATATTTTTAAAGTAATAAAAGATTGTGCAATTGTACATTCTGTGTTAAAAAGAAGAGGGCTGCCTGCTACATATGGATATGGCGTGATTTCCAAGAGGAAGAGGATGGCTGAGGGACGGGATGAGAATGAGACTGACTTCACAATACAAACTTTGGTATCTTCTGGATTCTGAGATCAGACTGCCATGTGCATGGCCCACCCAGCAGCAGCCATACTGAGAAGCACAGACTCTAGAGTCTGTCCTCCTGAGTTGAGTCCTGGCTCTCCCTTTTATTTACTGTGACCTTGGGTACGTTACTTAATTTACTTGTGTCTCAGTGTTTTCATGAATATTAGCAGAAATATTAAGAGTAACTACATTATTGTTTTAAGAATTAATGATTACTGGGTTAGATGTCAAAATGTAGACTTTAGCACTGGTTTTCACTCTGGTTTACAGTAAATTCTGCACAAGTCACATACCTATTTTATGTCAAAATGCTGTATCTCACAAGAATACAAGGATAATAAAAGTTAAAGTACTTTTTAAAAACAACAATTAAATTTGGTGGTATAGGTAATGTCTTTAAATAGTGCCTGGGCTTGCTTTTCTGAAGAAACCTTTATTGGAACACATGGGTGCACACACAAATGTGCCTGGTACATAATAATCAACTATCATAAAATTTTAAAATAGTATTTTAAAAATTAGCCTTTTCCTTAACCAAAAAAAGGGGGGAGGGAAGGCTTTAGTCAACCTGCCTAAGGTACAAATCCTGGCTAGTTGCTGTACAGCTCAGTTTCTTCATTGTAAAACGGGGAAATAATAGTCCCTATACCCAGGGTTCTTGTCTTGTGAGGGTCAAGTGAAATAATTCACATAAAGCATTTAATACAGCAGCACACAATGGTCCATTCGGTGGTGGTGGTGTGTGTGTAAATACACGGCCAATCCCAAGGCTCTGAACAGCACCCCTGGGCTGACGTTATGCCTGCAGCTGACCTCCCCTCTGGGCTCCCGATTCTTCTGGAAGACACCTTCTCGCTAACGACCCTTGGACTTGTCAGACTTCGCTACTACTTTCAGCCAAGAGAAAGCCTTACTCTCCACCTCCAACCTGTAACTGCCCCGCACCTGCCGCCACCCCACCTAGCTTCCCCATCCCAGTAAACAGTGCCTTGGTCCACCCATCTGTTCCATCAAGCCTAGGAAGTCACCCTGAGTCCTCTCTCTTCCCCTCACACCCTTCTTCTAATCTATCCGCTAGTCCCCACAGCTCTACCTCCAAAGTCTCCCCAGGTCGACCACCAAGGTCTAAACCACAAAAACTACACCCACTCCCGACACCTCACCTGCCCCATGTCATGACGGTGGCACTCACGGCCTGCAAGGAACGGCGTGGTTGGAAGGCCCGTGCTCTAACCCAGACTCCTGTCGGCCTCTCCTTCCCTGGCCGTGCCTCGGTCTTATCTAGGTTCCTGGAGAAGGTGCGCCTCAGGGCCTTTGCATGTGCTATGCCTCAGCCTGGAAGGCTCTGCCCCCCCACTCTTCTCACAGCTAGCTGCTTCTCGCCTTCCAGAGCTTAGCTGGCATGAGACTCAGAGATGCCAAAAGGGAAGAGAAACCAGAAAGGAAGGGACATGGAGAAGAGGTGACCAGCTGGCAGTGCCAGTGACGGCCCAGGAACTGGCAGGCCAAGGGCCTGGCGGAAGAGGCCGTGGCGGGAGGTGACGGGTGGGGTGAAAGAGGCACAGGCTGCAGAAGGTCACAGGGACAAGACAGGTGGGTGCAGTGACAGGCAGACAGTGACAGCAGAAGTGACAGACTGGGTGCGCTGGCAGTGACAGAGCAGGAGGTCAGGAGCAAACCGGGAGGGGCCAGAAACAAGGGGGTGCAATGCAGGTAGCCAGGCTACCGGGACACAACGTGGCAGGTGAGGCGTGTAGAAAACAGCACAGGGACAGGTGGGGAGGACACTCAAGGGGGCCGGTCAGGTGCACGAGTGAAGGGGACAGGTGTGAAGGAAGAGGTGATGCGGATGGAAGAAGAACCGGGGCGGCGAGGGGTAAAGGGGTCGGAAGGTGGCAGACGGGGTGGGTGGCTGAGACACCTGCAGCCTAAGGGCGATGGAAAGAGGGGCCGCTGCAGGGGCAGTGGTGGCAGTGGGCCCGGGAGGGGGGGCCCCCTCACAGGGGGTGAGGGGGGAGCAGTGACCACAGGGATGGGGACCCCGACAGGCTGAGGAGGACCGACAGGGGAACCTGATGGCAATGGAGGCACTGACCGGATGGGCGCTAACATGTGGGCACCGTCCTGAGGGGCACAGACGGGGACACCGGCAGTATGGGGGAAGGGGACCACAAACAGAAAGGGCTCCGAGGAAGGAGGGGCCTGAGGGGAGGGTGGACACTGCCTTGGGAGACACTGAGGGGGCGGTGAGAGGCGGTGGGGGATACTGATGGCAGCGGACACTACGGAGTGGACACCGACAGGGTGGACATAAGGGGGTGACACATGGGATATCACTGAAGGTGGTCACTGATGGGAGGTGGTCACTACCAAGGGGTGGTCACCGACGGGGGCTGGTCACTGACGGGTGGACACCGACGGGGGCTGGTCACTGACGGCAGGTGGTCACCGACGGCGGGGGTCACTGACGGGGGGGGGCGGCTGGTCACTGACAGGAGGTGGACACTGACGGGTGGACACCGACGANCGGGGGTCACTGACGGGGGGGGGCGGCTGGTCACTGACAGGAGGTGGACACTGACGGGTGGACACCGACGAGGGCTAGTCACTGACGGGGGCTGGACACCGACGGGGGCTGGTCACCGACGGGGGCTGGACACCGACGGGGGCTGGTCACTGACGGGTGGCTACTGCCGGGGCACCGACAGGAGCGGGCTCTGAGGAGCCTGAGGGCGGCCGCACTCACCTGCCCCGCGGGCCGGGCGTCGCGGCGGCTCCTCGGAGGCCCGGGTGGAGGCCAGGGCGCTGGCGGAGGCAAAGCCCGGGCGGCCTGGCGCGGACCGCACGCACATGGGCCCGGCCGGGCGCGGCGCCTACGCACACGGCGCCCACAGACACGGCGCGGGCCGGCCGGCACCTGGAGACCGGCTTGGGCCGCTGGCGGCGCTCGGGTCGCTCCAAAATGGCGGCTGCGACGGGCGGGCGCGCGCACGCTGGGGGCGGGGCCTTGCGCTGAGCGCGCACGCTCGCGCGGGGGCGGGGCTCGCGGCTCACCGGGCCTCCGCTATCGGGGAAGGGTGCTGAGGGGACCTGCAACGTGAAGATGACCGCCGTTAGGGAGCCGGGTGGGTGGGTGGGTGGGTGGCGGCTTCTTTTACTTTTCCCTCTGGGGTATTGCTAAACTTCTGTACAAGCATAATTAACTTGTTACGGGACAGTGCATTTACAGTAATACCGTATTTCCCCATGTATAAGACGCACCCTTTTTCGAAAAATTTAGGGTCTAAAAACGGTTCATCTTATATAGTGGTTGTAGATTTTTTACTTGCATTTCCTGCTGAGGACAAGGCATTATACGAAGACAGTGATTCGTCATCAAATACAGATGAGGACAAGCTAATGGTTGGGAGTTTTGACAGTGATGAAGAGTTGTAAGAATTTTATGATGAATAAAACTTGAGTTTAATAATTTATGTAATACATTTTTTTTTCAAATTTCGGGCCCCAAAATTAAGGTGCGTCTTATACATGGGGAAATACGGTAAATTTTCTAACGCAACGTCAGCCTCAGAACAACCCCTCCAGAGGCCTGAAAGGGTAAGAGGGTCACACACCTGAGACAGGGGTCTCCCTGCTCTCTGGGGGGCCTTCTGCCCTTGCTTTAGGCCTCTTCCACTGGGGCAGCTGGGTGTCCTCTGAACTCCTTGGGCACGTGGCGTGGACACAGCCGAAGAAGCAAAAGTGAACCGTGGTCAGCCCCCCATGTTTCATGCAGAGGTCCCCTCTACGTCCTATTTCCTAACTGGACTGCGAGCGCCTGAGCAGAAGTCACCACATTTAGTGTTTTTTCCAGGTGCTCCCCAGGTGTAATGTGTTTTGCACATTAAAATATTTACCCATTTGGGCCGGCCTAGTGGCGCGATGGTTAAGAGCTGGCTTGGGATGCCAGAGGTCCCCGGTTCGGATCCCACATAAGAGGGCCAGTGAAACTGCCCTCCACAGCTAAGATGCTGAACAACAGCTCCACCTGGAGCTGGGCTACCGTGAGTCACAGGTGACAGTGTAGGCTGCAGGCCCTGCTGCAGTGGGTTGCCATGGGCTACCGTGTGTAGCCAGCAGCCAGCGTGAGCGGCCAGCAGCCGCCGTGAGCGGCCGTCCAGAAGCTGGTGACTGATGTGCCTCGCCCCGGAAGAGCGCAATGATGGTGCCAACTTGGGCCAGTGAAGCAACGTCCTCCACAACTAGACTGAAGAACAAAAGTACAGCAACTTGTCTGTTCCCCTTCCCCCCAATTCCCCAGCGCTGTTCTCCCATCCCCCCAAGTCCCCAATAAAAATCTTTAAAATTATATATATATATGTATATATATATATACATATATATACATATATATATATATATTTACCCATTTAACATTTGTTGAAATTGTATAATTCAATTAAACCAACTAATCTCTAAAATGAGAGTTATAATTACAGGTGTCAGCGTGAACCCTGGGAAAACGTTGGAAAGTGAAACTGGACACAAGGAATGTCAACTACCACCTACGCCAGTTACCAACTTCCTGCCTCCGCTGCAAAAGCACGGTGATCCTCTCTGCGAATGCGTACCTGGGCCTGCGAATGCTGAGCTTCGTCACGAGGGGGCGGGCGCGAGTTTGTTCTGGAGCTCCTTCTGCAGGCAGGAGCCACCGCCTTCCAGTCGCCTGGCTTCCCTGCGGCGAGCAGCTTCCCCAGCACTCCCTCGGGCGGCTTGATAGCAGCATTTCTTTCCCTGAACACCGTTCCCCAGTATTCTGCAGGGCAGATCTCTGGCACGTTCTCTGGGGTGAGCTTCCAGGAAGCGGGATTAAAAAAGAATCAGATTTACAACGGAGAGGAGAAACGCCGTGCAAGCGGAAGCCCCTCCCCTGCAGAGGATGAGAAACTGGATTGAGCTGCAGAATGGGGCCTCAGGCCAGGAGGTCCCTTCTTCTGGCAGTGACCCTCCAGCACTCTCTACTGAGAAAGCTAAACATCGTGTCAACGGCAAAAGAAATGCTTAAGGGTCAAGCTCCATTATCACAGAGCAGGCAATGAGAAGTGGATTCAGAGAGGAGGCAGTAAGTGGAAAATGGGCAGAGTCCAACCCTCTGGATAGTCAGTGTCTGTATGCATCCTGTCAAACATATTTGAACTTCCAAACAACAACAAGACAACCTGTATTTTCACCTAACACAAGATACATCCATCCTCACTGCAAGTGAAGAAATCCTCACTCTTTCAAAATGAGCATATGCACACTCCCAACAGTCGTTGTATCTATTTTTTACTACATTAATTACTCCTCAAATTCTGTCACTGTCCCACTGAATATTCTCTTATGTTCTTTTCTTTAAAACTAGTAAAGTTAACCTGTGACAAACTTGCATATTTTAAAAAATGGAAAGGAGAGAGAAGAAAATGGTTTATATATACAAATAAACACATTGTAACATGCAAAGCTACTACAATCCTTGTGTCTGCACTCGGTCACAAGACGTGGGCTCTTCAACAGATTTCCCTTCTAAACTGCCTTGAAGTGGACATAAAACAGCTAAAACCAAGCCAAGCTGACACAGAAGGCCCAAATAAAGTTAATTCTATTACTAGGAACACAAAGTGCAAATTTATTCACCAAAAACTGTAAGACGCGTTCTACCTCTGGAGTGCCATCACAGCAGAAGGACCTGTCCTGTTTTTCCCTTCAAAAGCCCCCACAGCGCAGAGAAGAGGACACAGGCCAGGGCATCAGAAGACTACTACTCTGTAAACTCAAGTAGGACACACACAGGGAGAGCCACACCTATGTACACCACAACCAAATTCCTGTGTGTGAGAGCCACAAAGAAAACTCTGACAGCAGCAAGAGAAAAATGACCCATCACATAAAGGGGAAGAATGATACAATTAATTCTTGTCATAGGTAATGGAAGCCATAGGACAGTAAAATGGCATAAAGTGCTGAAGAGAAAATAAAACCTGTCAGTGAAAAAAACTATACCCATCAATATTATACTTCAAAAATGAAGGTGAAAAAAAATGAAGGTGAGATAAAGATCTTCCCAGATAAACAAAACATGAAAGCCATTGCTAGCAGATCTGCGTTACCAGAAATATGAAAGGAGTCGCTTCAAGCTAAAAGGAAATGACTCAGATGTTGACTCAAGTCAAAGGAATTAATGAAGAACCAAATTCAACAATCCCTCTTCATTGTAAATACTCTCAACAAACTAGAAATAGATGGGAAGTTCCCCAACTTCATAAAAGTTATCTAGGGAAGAAACCTACCACTAAAATCAAATTTAATGGTGAAAGATTAAAGGCTTTTCCTCTAAAATTAGAACTGAGGTGAGGATATCTGCTTTCACTACTTCTGTTCTACAATGTAGGATTCCTCATATAAGGAGCTTGGAAGTCACCCCTCCATCCTAATAACAAGTGGCAAGCAGAAGAAACTGAAAAAGCAACAACTCTTCTTGGATCTTTAAGAGAAGGGAGGACACAGGGCAAACCACTGCTCCCAGGACTGGAGAGACAGACAGGCAAACACAGGTCATGACGGCTTCCCAGAGCAGAGACTCACAGGCAGAAACCGCCAGGGGAACCTGTGACCTGTGCGGGGGTCCCCTGAGCTGTAAGTGGTGCATTTCTGGAGGCTCGGAGTGGACGAGTCAGAGTTAGAAACTCCAGGAACCCTGTCGTAAGGGAGCCCCACAATGTGGTGAGGTTCACCTCCAGGAGCTCGACCAGGTTCCAGTGAGTATCAGAGAAAGATCCTCCCATGCTTCCAGCGAGGGAGGAAAGCAACCATTTAAAATACACCAGGCACCCTGTTCTCAAGGCCTGCTCTCGGGAGAAACTATTTAACCAGAGCCCAGCTAGCTGGGGAGTTATCAGAGCCTACTGACTGGAGAAGGGAAATACCCAACTCCAGCCAGCCCCCCACCCCACCCCCAGCCATCGGTCCCAGCTAATGTGGGAGGAGAAAATGGAGACGCATACGGGGAGCACAGTGCAGGGTGCAGGCTCACTAAAGACTGACCCGAATCGTGGGACCACAGAACACCGCCCCCACACCTGACACCACATCACAAAGGCCCATTTACTGCACTTCCTGCTACCCAGGACATGTCCATCTCTCAACAGAAGACGACAAGGCACACTCAAAGGCAAAAACGCCGTTGGGAGACACAGAGCAGCAGCAGAACCAGACGTAGCAGGGATGCTGGAAGTATCCCACGGGAATTTAAAGCAACTATGACTCTTGTGCTAGGGCTCTAATGGACGAAGCAGGCGGCACATGAGGACACATGAGCAATGTCATCAGAGGGACAGAAATTCTAAGAACCAAAAGAGAAGCGAGGGATCAAACACTCTGAAACAGAAATGGAGAACGCCTCCGATGGGCTCACTCGTGGACTGGACATGGCTGAGGAAAGAATCTCTGAGCTAGAGGGCATATCAATAGAATACCCCAAAAACTGAAAAGCAAAGAGAACAAATATTGCAAAAACAGAGAGGATATCCAAGGACTGTGGGACAACTACAAAAGGTGTGACATACACGTAATGGGAACACCAGGAGGAGAAGAAAGGCACAGAAGAAATATTTGAAATGATTCTGCATTTTATTAAAGGTCTAGCCCATGCAGTAGTCAAGAAAAAAATTAAAGTCACACAAATTAGAATTGTCTTTATTCACAGATGACATGAATATCTATTTAGAAAATCCTAAGGAATCCACCAAAAAAATCTACTAGAAATAATAAACTAGTTTAACAAGGTCACAGGATACAATATCAATATACAAGCAACAGTTACATTTCTAGCAACAAACAATCTGAAAATGGAATTTAAAAAATTCATTCACAGAGCCGGCTGAGTGGCTCAGTTGGTTAAGAGCGCCAGCTCTTAGCAACAAGGTTTCCAGTTGGACTCCCGCATAGGATGGTGGGCT